CAATCAGTTGCAGAAGGCAAGACGAAGCGGACGGATGCTGTGCTCGCTTCAATTACTTATTTCGTGTTGGGTTCCGTTTAGGGGTGTGTGGGTGTGTGTGTTCCTGGGTTTCGTGGCTATTGGAGCACTAGTACTGTTATCAATTAATTAATTAATTTAAAGAGGATTCTGCTTTTCACTCGGAGCGAGCGATCTTCGATCACTTTTGCACAACCAAGAGAAGGCTGGGTTGCTTACTCTCTCCAGGATTCCCTGCTACAGTTTGAAACATCAGTGCAGCCTATTCAGCCTCCAGACTTTTGGGCGTAAAAGCCCCAAGTGAGGGATGCAAGGATGCTGTGTTGTCTTTTGCGTTTCTGGAGAAGGCAGTGCCCTGGCTTTCTGATCACATCTTCTAAGCTGATGTATAGATCAGGTCTGGTGATGGAGCCAGAGGCTTAGATATTAGCCATCTTTAAGCTGCTGCTACAATATGACATGTTACCTTACCGGGTTTGTAAAAGGAATAAGAATTGTGGGCGGGGAAGAATATCTTCAACAACCACGATTTACTAGTGTGAAATAGAGAGGGCATTTACTCTATGCTCTCAGACCTCAGTAGTTGACATAATTGTAAATGCACTGTTGCATCCTCTTTTTCAGCATATCTGACTGTTCTGTGTATGATGATGATACTGATGATGTTTTTAAATAGCCTCCATGTTTTCAGGTATGACTTAGGCACTTGGTTAGCCCACCAGAGCTCTGGTAGAACTCAGTGGGGCTTTAACAATTTATGAATGTTTGCTTGAAAGAGAAGGCTTTTCTTGTTATGAACTTCACCGTCAGGTCTTTGAGAAGGTCATCATAAAGGACATAGCAGGGGAATTGGTGTTTGCTCCTTAGTTCTGACACCCGCAGTAGAAGTGTGAGTGCAAGTAGCTTCATTTCTCTGAAAGTGCACAGGAGGAGAGGGCTTGTGAACTATGCCTGTATATGCAAGAGGGAGCTTGTTTTCAAATGATGTCCTTAGTCCTAACAAATGTACAAGAAATGTTGTTCTTCCTTCAGTGTCCCCCTGACCCACTGACAGAATTTTCCCAAAAGTAGGGAAGTATTCCAGGCAGTTGTCATTAAGGACTGCAAGGTATTCATTAGTTTCTTTAGATGGAGGCTTGACCTTCCTACACGGCTGTTGTTTTTTGCTCCTACAGTGACAGGCTGCTTTGCTTTTCCAGCTGCTTTTCTTTTCTTCTTAAATTCAGCCCTGATCATCTGTCCCATCCAAGGTTCCTCCAGCCACATCAGACCTTCACATTATCCCCACAAATTTTCAAGAAGTTTATTCTTGTTGGTCCAATGATAGGCTTCCCCCCTCCCCACCCCCCACTGCCATCCACAGAAGGTTACACCCCACTTATGTGAATATGCTTTGATCTCAGAGGATAAGTATAATAAGACATGACTGTGTTTGTATCTCATGAGCTGCTTGGAGTTGAATGATATTTACTTATTGAAACCTTAACAGGGTGACTAGCAAACTAATTGTAGATTTCTCATGGCTTTCTGGAGTACAAGTGCCCTTGGGCTATGTATGGTTTAAAAGATACCTTTTAAGAATTTTTTACAAATCTTACCAAATTCAGTATCTTTAATTCTTTCACTGACTGTTTACATTGAAAGGGAATTTCTGAATTCTTTTTTGAAGTAATAATCTGATCAGACATTTTGGGCCCAACTACAAATTCTGTGCCAAAATAATCTTGTTTATAATTCAGATTAGGAGTCCTGTGGATTTGGTATGTGTGTATATGTATGGTTTTGGCGTTCAGATTCATTCAAAGAAACTTTTGGGCATGCTGTGTAGAAATAGTGATTGTGTTCCATACAGGAATTTACTATTAATTTATAAACCCCCCAAATACCATTCATTTGTAGTGATCAGGTAAGGTAGGGTTTTAAATTAACAGGAACAGTGGTCAGTGAGAGAGAGATTGTCAGTGAGTCAGTGAGGCTTGATTCTGGCCTTGGGCTTGAAATTGACAAAGTCACATTAACTATTACTGGAAAAGTCATTTGCCTAGAGAAGTTTCTCTTTCAGTTTGTACAACTTTTTCTTAGTTGTATATATAGGTGTTCAACATATTTAGAATTGTTATTGTCAGTACTGATAGGATCTAGGAAAGGGGATGAGGTAGAAGAGCACAGAGCAGTCAGTAGCTTGGTCAAAGAAATTACTGTAGTCCAGAAAACTTTACAAGCAACTACAAGCCCTAGTTAAAAGAAAGAATAATAACTAACAGCAAGGTTCACTGCTACCAATAGAAATGTTATTTAAATAAATAAATAAATAAATAAATAAGAACACATTAATAGAAAGAACTGGGGGCCTTCAGTCTATAATATCGAGCTTTGATTCTGAGGCCTTCTTAGAACTTTTTTAGTCACAGGCTGAGTTCACACATTACATTAAGCCATAATATGGTTTCTTATTTGGATTAGCTTGCTATGTGAATATACCCATTATGCCCTATTCCATGCAAACTAGGCCACCTTTTTGTTTAATAAACAGCGGTTTTAAATTTCTAGTTCAGTGTCATGTGTGAAGTCAGCCTTCTCACACTTGGAGAAACCTAATTTACCTGACAGTGGTCGGAGTGCTGGAAGGGTAAGTTGCTCTAAAGATGCTGTGGATTTTCCTTTCCTGAATGGGCTCAAACCATTGTAAATATTCCAAGTGAACACTTGCCAAGCATGTCCGTGAAGTTAGAACCATCGCTTCTGCTTCTCCTTGTCTCAGCTCCAAGGCCCGGAAATTCACCTCAGAGAAGAAAGGCTGAGGATGGCAAGTATCCAAAGGCCCAGCAAAATACTTTTTCATGCTAGGGAGTCTAGGATTTGTAGCCTCAGTCTCAGTTCATACAAAATAAGAAGCACTCTCGGAGTGCCTACCACAACATCCGGCAAGATCTGACACAGAAAACATGTTCTAGATTCCATCTTTAAAAAGTATCATCTAATGGGGCCTAGGCAGTATCTTTTTTTGCCTCCCCCCCGCCCCCAGCCATTAGGTTAGGAAGTTTGGGCTGCTGTGAAAATTTTATAAACGTGCTAGGTATGTTATTCTCTGCGTTATCTTCTTTTGTTTGTATTATCTTGCTTTTATCTTGTACATTACCCAGAGTTGCTATGAGTTGGCTGGCGTAGAAATTAGATTTATAAATAAATAAATAAATAAATACGTTCATACATTTCCTGGAGCATTCTCTTGCTGCAAGGTAAGTTTTTGGGGCAAGGGAAAAAGGAGGTGGCCGTAGCTTTCGGCATGAAGAGAAGCATAATTTTGATTGTCCAACTTGCAGAAGTTGTAGGAGGAGTGCTATATGACAAAAAATCTGAAAAATCAGATGCAAAGAATGGCTAGAGTGCAGGGACTGCACTCTGTAGGGATAGAGTAACTAGAGTGGCTAGATCTAGATACTCCATGTATCTAAAAGTGTATGCCTTTTAATAAAAGTTGTTACTTGGCAAAAGGTGCTACCAAACTCCTTCTGACTACTTGCAGAAGATTTGTTTATCTTACCTTGGTCCTACTCTATTAATATGGTACTGTAATATGGGTTTTGTGTGTGTATGTGTGTATTTGGGTCAGTGTGTACTCCTGGTGCCTGCTGGATTAGTCCCTGGAGTTTTCCTGGCAAGGTTTTTCAGAAGTGGCTTGCCATTGCTTCCTTCCAAGGACTGAGAGAGAGAGTGATGGCCCAAAGTCACCCAGCTGGCTTTGGGCCTAAAAAGGGCAGGACTAGAGCTCATGGTCTCCCAGTTTCTACCTGGTGCCTTAACCACTATACCAAACTTGCTTTCAGTATGTAATATGTCCTGCAATAAAGATTTCTGAAAGAGTTGTATTGTGCCTCTTTATATCCAGTAGAGGTCCTCCACTACAGTGGCCAAGATAGTTTTCCTCTCATGAGTAGGACTGAAATTGGACTGAAGTAGATCCAATTATAATTATCATTTAGTATATGGAGTTGATGTGTTACTGGCTTTTCTAGTATCTTTTGCCAGTATTATAACTGGTATATTCACTAGTGAATATTTATGGTTCATGTGATCCCATCTTTAAGAGAGGTCATCATTCTTCAAGGAAGCACTAACAGTATCTGAGAACCAAACTGAAGGAGCAGCTATGGCTGTTTTATGGTTTGTCAACTCCTCAGGTGATAAAAACTGAAATATACATGACAACTTGCTGATATGTTATTCTGCCTATGTTAATTTCTGACTCTGACAGAACTATGGAGTCCCATTTCCTGCTCCTTGAACCTTTTAATGAGTGATACCAGCTAATGATGCTGGGACTCTTTGCATGCAGAACATGTTTTCTGTCACTGAATTAGTTCTACAAGGTGTCAGGCAGAAGCTTTTCCCATCATCTGCTATTTGACGCTTCTCTTAAAAAGAGGTATCAGAGATTTTCTGGATGCAAAGCAGATGTGCTCTATAAACTCCCTTCCCTTAAAATGCTATGCCACACCATGTCATGGGCTCAGCTAGGTATAGCCAAAGGGAAGCATAAGCATATTTAAGGCAGAAGAACATTGGTGGAAGAGCAGATGA